GGCTTTTTGACCTAGCAAAATAATCTCCAGTTCCAAGTGTGTTGGCAAAAATAAAAGGATTTTCTTTGTTTTTATAGTGAATACTGTTTCACTGTGCATATGTACCATAGATTCTTTACCTATTCCTCCGCTGACAGACTCTTAGGTTGTTCCTATTTCTTCACTGTTGTGAACACGGCAGTGCGAATGTCTCTTCCATATCCTGGTTTCCTTTCCCTTGGCTGTGTAGCCAGCAGTGGCATTGCTGGCCCACATAGTAGGTCTCTTTTTAATTTTTTTGAGACTCTTCCCTGCTGTTTTCCGTAACAGCTGTACAAATTTATGCCCTCATGAGCAGTGTGCAGGGATTCCATTTTCTTAACCTCCTTATCAACACTTGGTCACTTCAGTTATTTTCATAGTAGCTCTTCCTACTGGGGTGAGGTGATATGTCATCTTGGTTTTATTTGTATCTCTCTGATAAGTGATGTTGAGCAGTGTCGTAGTTTGGGGGCTTTTGCAAGGAGAAGCAATATAATACAGAACACTCAATACATGTTAGCTGCCATCCTGGTGGTACTGTGAGCATCAGACCCTCCTCCTGACACCAAGTCAGCGAGGTCATGCGTGTGAGTCAGTCACCTTTCAAAAGCCCCACCTCAGAGCACATGAGCCTTTGGGGGACACTTCTGATCTAAACCGTAACAGAACTGCCTTCTCTAATGCTCACATTTTAAAAATAGTTCATAAGGTGTATAGGTTTTAGCTAAGAAAAGTCACTGAAATCCTAAATTCATTTTAAAATAACCATTACTAATGGGTATCTTTGAATTATTTTTTGTTTGTACGAAACATGTCTGCCAGAACATGAGGTGTTTCATATCGCTGCATCAGGTATATTGGCGTTTCTCATGACCTGAGTTAAGGCAGCTGTACATTTTCCTGTAGAGGTTGCTCAAGTAATTTCCCTCCGAAAAGGCAGTGCCCTTTAAAACATTTTGAGCTGAGATGTAGCTCACTGGTGAAGCACATGCTCAGCATGCACAGGACACGGCTCCAGCCCTAACAGACCCCCTTCTCCTCAAAGTAGACACCCTGAACCGTTTCGTATGTCCTGCTGATTCCTAGCAGCAGCCTGAATCAAATGTCAATATTTGCTGGAACCTTTCTGTGTTACTGTCCCAGAATTATAAGCAGACGGGATCATTTTACTTACGACTTTGCCTGTTTCCGTCACTTACCTTCGTACAGGACCTCTGGAATCAGGGAGGTGCCCTCTGTCCATTCGGTGCTGTGAGCGCCTGGCACAGTGCCGGGCACACACAGGAATTGCATGTTTGTCAAGAGGTGGAATGAAACCTAGAAAATCCATGTGATCCTTAAGGACAAAGCACTGAATGATTCCATATTTGAATAAGCACCGGTATAGTCACAAATGAATACTGTCAGTTGATTTACAGATCTTAAAAACACTCATACACACAAAAGATGTAGCCTCAGCCTCTCATAAACACTGGCAGAATAAACAAAGGAGCTGGCATTGTGAGGCACTGTAACCGTCACAGATCTTTTGGTACAGAACATTGTTCTTGCTTAGAGAAGAGTCTGGCCGCTACCATTCTGTGCCACATGGTGTCGCTTCAGAGCAAGGTTTTTAAAGATGCAATCGCTTAGGGGAACTTGACAATGAATTGTAGTGTTGATTCTGTTCTAGCATTCAAAATGATTTTTCGTTGGAAGTCTTTGTTTACAAATGAACATGGGCACCAAGCTATTCAGGAGAATTTACGTTCAATGCCACCTAAAATAAGCTCACTGGGCCAGGGATATAGCTCAGTGGCTCAGCACCTGCCTGGCAAGCACAAGGTCCTGAGTTCGATTCCCGGTTCCAAAATAAATAAAATAAACTTGCAAGCATCTTGGATGGGAAAGGTTTTTAATGGAGATGGAGAAAGCTGCGCTCTTACAGGGCAAGAACCAACCACCGACAGACGCATGGAGTTGGTGTTCTCGGAGGCCCTTTAGTCAGCCACAGATGCTCACTACGTGTGTGTGTTTTGGAAGTGTTGGTACATATGGTGACAACCCTTTTGTAAGAATGTTGAAAAGTGCCAGTTAAAAGAGGCAGACGGTTACCGTGGAAAAGAGACTGGGACAGTCGCATCACTTAGGACCTCTCGCCTTTCATGACATAGCGCTCATTCCTCTGGAGGATGCCGTTTTCCGACAGAGAGCTGCACGACTCGTGCAGGTGAAATGCTTGACCAGCAGCGCTGCTTCTAAGAAGGGTTCAGTGTGCCGCACCATTTCCGTGTCCCTCAGGTGGGCCGTCTGGACTGTCTCTTGCTAGGGTCACAGATTCCAAGTGACTCTCTCCAGGGCTGCTGACCAGGACGTGCACACAGGACTCGGTCTCCTCTCTCCATTGGCTATGACTAGTGTCTGTGCCAGCAGATGACCTGCTTCACCCTGCGGGCAGGGGCGTGAAGGTACGAAATCCAAGTTCAAGGCCGTGCTTTGGGTTGTTGCTGCAAATCGGCCGCCAAAACGATGATGATGATGATGATGATGATGATGAACAAAAAAATCCAAGAAAGGGTGGAGCAGGCAACCAGGAAAGAAATGCAGTTGTTCGTTACTGCTGAATTGGGGCTATCTGGGGTCCCTGCTAAGAGCTTTCCTTGGACCCTAGTTGGTTTTAAGACGCCAGATCCCAACATTAATGCTATTTGCTTTAAGGGTAGAAGGATGTAATTGTACCTAGGTTCCTTCTTTGCTTTAAAAAAAAAATCTTCAGAGGCTGGGGATTTAGCTCAGCGGCACAGCACCTGCCTGGCAAGCGCAAGATCATGAGTTCAATTCCTGGTACCGGAAAAAGAGACCAAAAAAAAAAAAAAAAAAAAAATCTTTGAACCTTGAACAGTGCAACTTCCCAGAAAATACTCATCTAAACTTTTCAAAGAAAGGAACACATGTAATCTAAATGCAATGAGAAGAAAGAGATGCTGGTACTTCTTACAGTTGGCAGTATGTATGATTTTCATTTTATTTTTCATCACAGAGAGGCTCTTTTCCACATCCTTCAGAGTGGGAAAGTTATTTCTGGTGAAATTTTTTATTTATGGAAGTTCTACTATAGAATACCAACTAGGGTGTCCGTGAACTGAATCATTCACATGCGATTATTTAATTTATGTATCTGTTGTTACCTGCTTAGTTTTCTCTGCTTTTGGGTCACCTTTTCTCTCCTAATTGGTATTATCTTCTTACCTTTCATACTCTGTTGTTTCTTCTTAAAAATAATCTAAGTTGACATTTAAGCCTGGGTCATTGATTTTTCTGAGAGACATATGTTTTGTTACACTGTAGAATATGCAGTCATTTTATACTGACTATTCTTTATTAAGTATAATTTTAACAGCTGTTTTTTTTTTCCTTTTATCACTTTGGAGTCTTGAACGGATATTTCTTACTATGGCTCTATTTCTAAAAATTAGAATATTTACAGATTCCTCAGAGGTAGTCTTAGCAGGTCCTAAAATGCTAACTTTATCAATTTTTGTTTACATAGTACACACAATCAGCTCTCTGAATCTGTGGGTTCCACATCTAATGATTCATCAAATTGTAGCTTGAAAACTTTTAGAAAAATAACAATTTAAAAAGTAGTATATAGTATATTATATGATTAAAAAGCAAGAAAATACTTGAGCAGAGAAAGGAATTTAAGAATGTGTAGGCGCTGTTGAAATTTGACATTAGGGAGCTAGAGGTAAGGCTGTGAATCTTGGGGTTGTATGAGAAGTAACCTTACATACATAGGTCTGGAGGTGAGAACATGCTAAGGATATTTGGGGACCTGCAGGAAGAGCAGGGCAGAGGTGCAGAGTGTAGGGCCACATGGCTCTCCGCTGTCTACCAATCACATGGTACAACTCAGACGTAGTCACACAAAACAGTCATTGCATGAATTGTTGAAACTGGATCCCAGGACTTACGGAAGGAGAACCAATAGTGACTGAAGGGTAAGTGAAGACTGGTAGAGATAGCAGACTTCACACTTACGGGTTGGGGGTGGGCAAAGAGAGAGTGCTTTAGGCAGGGAGGAATAGAACTGGGTGGGCTTTGAGATGGAGACGTTGACAGCCACTAGGGAACCCAGGATTATTCCTCGTGAGAGCTCCGGCAAGAGAGAAACTTGGGAGGGGATGGTGGAAGGTGCGGAACTGTGGAGATCGTCCAGGGAGATGGCCTGGGCGGGGTCATGGTATGCGCGGGTGGACAGAAGGGAAGATTCAATCCCCATGCAGGACCTCAGGCTTCTATGATGGAGTGGAAGCAAACAGTCACCAAAAACAGGAATGGAGCTGATGCTTTATGGACCGCGGGGTGCTGTTGATAAGACTGGGAAGGCGCGACTGGGGAAAGGACATGTCTGGGGTAAAAGCGAACTTTGGAATAGGAAATATTTAGCTACGTGTTGTGTTGAAATGGGGATCTGCGTTTGAGTCTCATTGGCCAGAGGATGTCGACGTCACTGCCGCTGTTGAACCAAGGTGGCTTTATTAACCTAGGGCCCTCAGCGCAGCAGCTCCCTTTTCACCAGCAGGGGGCGCCTTCTGGGTGTGACCTGAAGGCTTCCAAAGTCCCGTATGACTGGAAACCCAGGAGCTTTGCCATTTAGCCTGGAGCCCTGCAAGTGCTTTTGACGCCCACTATTACAATTTTATTAGGAACACTCTAGCTAGCTAGTAAGTCTGTCCGTACCTTGATAAGCAGAGCGTTTCTAAATGTATTTGAGCTCATCAAAGGGTGCCTGTCCCTGTATGTCCTCCTTCAGGCATTAGTAGACTTGGTGCTTTGACACTTAGGCTGGACAGAGTGATGCACAGTGAATAACAAGCAGGGGATGAGTCCCTCTTGTGGATGTCAAGCTTAGAAATTAACTGGCGAACAGAAGAGAAATACACTTACAAAGGGAAGGCGTGTGAGGTCATCAGTGTGCTGTGTTTGCTTATTAGATGCACTGGAAGGGAGTCTTGCTAAGCCCAAACAATCAAGATTGGAAGATGGTGATGTCCCAGCATCCCCCGGCTTGGCAGGTAAAATCGTGCACCCGGCCAGCAGTTGAAGTAGGAATGTGACAAATACGTGGGCACAGAATGTACCCAATGAGCTACAGTTTTAAGATCAGGGTAGTTGCGGAAGCTTAAAAGCTAAGCATTTTGTTCTTTGAGACCAGTGCTTTGTTGCAAAAATTGCAGTTAAGAACAGGCAGCATTGTCTCCTAGCAATTTTTTTTTTTTGTCTTTTTTGAGACAGGGTCTCACTATGTATTTCAAACTGGCCTTGAACTCACTGTGTAGTCCAGGGTGGCCTCAAACTTGTGGCCAGTCTCCTGCCTCAGCTTCCTAAGTGCCCAACTCTTTCCTACCATTTTGATTTTTGCCCCTAAATCTTTTTTTTTTGTGGCAGCTGTCAGGATCTGAGGGTTTCTAAAGTCGTCTCTGCTTTAGTTGCTAATAGTTAACTAAATTTTTGTGTTAGAAATGTATGATGTATACCAATTAGAGAATAATCTAGAATGTCTATGTGTGTGGGATCTAGATGAATAGCACCATATATTTTGAAACAAAGATCTCTAAAAAGAGAAAATTGCATGTCAGAGGCACAGGAGGGCAGTGGTTCAAGATGGCGTGGTTTGATCCTGGAGCTGCTGGTGTGATCTCCGTTCAGTGTGGATTCCAGCAGAACCTATGTCCTGTGGGTTTTGTAGGGAATGAGTGAATCACTGTGTGTGAGTCCTCTAGCAGAGAGCCAGATCTCTCATAAACCCTCCTAAGACTGGTACGCAGAAGGTGTTCTGCCAGGTTGGCCCCCATAGACCGGCCCTTAGCATTATGATCTCCAGCATACTTCTCGGGACACCTTAGAGAGAATGTCACTTGCTCTGATTTGACATGTGTGGAAGGTTTGGGTGAAAGGAGCAGTTGCCAGAGAGTGAGGTTTGTCGAGAGGCTCGTCAGGTGTCTTCCTGTGACCCTTACTGAGCTGACCTTGTATGAACACGGTTGAGGTCATGGCCCCAGCCAGACATGCCGCAGGATCGCAGCCAGGCGGCCTCCAGCGCAGCTGCAGTTCACATTTGTGCTTCTGACAGAGCGCACCGCCATCTGTGCAGAGGTGGACCAAGCGCCGCTACTTTGAGCATTTTAAAATTTTATTTCCTATTTTATTTTTGTTGTTTGACGTTTCTACCCCATACCTAGACGATGTGCCAGAGAGCTTAGATGTTTCTGCTGTTATCACAGCCTTGGAAAACTTCGCTGGAGAACTGAAAAGAAAATATGAGGTAATCGTACCCTGAAAATGAAAAACTAGCTCTGAAGCTGGAGGACAGTATGTGAAAGGAAATAACCCAGACACAGGCTGCATGAGCTCGCTGACATGTGGGATCTGAAAAAGCAGGGAGTGGAGGGGTGGTTACCAGGGGCGAAGGGATGGAGGAAATGGGTGGGCGTTAGTCAAGGGCATGCTTTCAGTTACAGGCTAAGTTCTCCAGACCCAGCAGACTGCGTGGTGACGTGGTTAATGACAGTGTATATTGGTATTTCCACGAGAGTAGCTCTTTAGTGTCCTTACCCCACCACCACATACAAAAAGGTAACTGTGCGAGGTGATCGATATGTTCATTGGTTTGATTGTGGTAATCATTTTGCAATGTGTACATATAACAAGACATCCCACGAACCCCCTTGAATATAAATAGTTCTATTTGGTTCATGATGACAGAGCTAAACAAAAAGAAAACATAACCCATTTATTTTATCCATTCATTCTGTTGTTGTTCATATGCGAGGTACTCCTGAATCTCTGGGGAGGTGTATCTGTCTTAGCTGTGGTCATGGATTTTAGTGCCTTTGTGACTGTGGTTTGTATTTATAAGACAGCTATGTCCATACCCTTTTGCCCCAGTGGAAACAAATATGTGGAAATCAGACTCATAGTAGGTGTCACTGGTAGCATTTCCAGACAGCTGAACTACCAGGAAGCAATGTTGGTCAGCATGATAGACGAGGAGATGAGGAAAGAGGTAACCATGGGGAGGATTTAGGAATGTGGGACAGACATAGAGGTAGAGGTGGATAAGGATTTTGCTGTTCATAATCACAGCCTTCAAGTTTTCTAAGTGGCAGCAGAGTTTTGAGACCCTGAATGCACACTGTCTCAGAGCCTTTTGTGTAAGATGGGTGTTGGAACCATGTCAGTCCCCTTTGTTTTTGTCTTGTTGTTTATAAAACCATAATGTCTTATGCATTAGCCTATTAGCACACCCAAGCCAACATTTATTTAACTAACTTGGAAGATTTCCAATATCGTTATTTTCTGCAATACTAATGTAGGTCAATTTATAATGGAAATGTGCCCACAGTGTCTATATGTGTATCAATAGCATGAATACATGCTTTCCTGTTTTTACTTATTGTTATTTATTGGTATGAAATGAGGTCATACTTGGAAGGTATGTAGAATGGTACTTTATCATAGATTTTTATCAGCAGGGCCTGCTATGAATGTCATATACAGTATCGGCAGCAGCTTCTCAATACAAATCGTATACTCAACTTATGTAATTATGTTTAACCCAAATGTTATCATTTTGTTTTTACCCTTTAGCTTAGGTATGAAAAGAGTGCAATTTATTCAAACAAAGCAAAGAAAGCACCAGACTGTCTACTGAAACTTTTAAACCAGATACACCTGCAAAGGTAATTACTGAACTTCAAAACGCATTCGTGGAAGTGTAATCACTCACAAATAACATTTATTCATGTGCTTGTGCCTGAGGAGTTGAAGCCTGAGAAGATGTAAGGTTTGATACATCCCTTCACCTTTTAGGGTTTTCAGTTCCTTATTCATAAGATGAAGGCTTGGAGTTAATGTGTTTCTTAACCATCATCCTTGTATTTTCCAACATATCCCTGAAAAGTTTATAATCCACTTGTGAAGACAGGGTGCACATGGATAAATATGGAAGTAGAAAGAATGGATGGATTTAGAACATTGTGAATGTGCTCAATGCTAATGAATTGCACCTAAAATGGTAAATTTTATGTCTAATTATAACATGATAAGGAAATATACATACTTATCCCTCTGCCTTATGACTACATAGCAAGAAATACCAGGGTGCTCACATTTCTGAGAGGTGCAGAATGGCAAAGGGGAGTAGAGGGGTGGATTTCTTTAATGAGCATGGTTAATCAAGGAAAACTACAGCGGAAGTCCTTCTTGGATGAGGTTTTGGAAAGAAAGATTTGAGCGGTGCAGGGAAGGTGAGTACAGAGGATGTTTCTTATTGGAGAGAATCAAGGAGGGAAGAAAGGGTTAGCGAGTCAGTTTGCTTAGTTGAAACAGAAAGCTTCTTAGGGTAGAGTATGTTATTTGAACATACATTTGTAATAGTTCTGTAGTATCACTTGATTGTCCAAACAAGCCCATGAAGGACTTTGAATTTGTGGAACTGCTTTGTGTCTCAGGGGTTTCCACCCTTTTGTGTATTCATTCAGCAAATCCACACTGAGCAACACTACATGCCAGGCTCTATGCTCAGTGTAGTGGGTTGATCAGCTTCCTATCACTACAACTACTAATAGCCGAGACAATCAACTTATAAAGAGAAAATGTTTATTCTGGCTTTCCGTTTTGGAGGTTTTAGTCCAAGATCCATTGATCCCATTGCTTTGGGACATGGTAGGGCAGCATTTCACGGCAGGCATGCACACATGATGGAGCGGAACCACTCACTTCAAAGCCAGGAAGTGCAAAAAAAAAAAAAAAAAAGTCCAGGTCTGATTCTCTCCTTTGAGGATATGTCCCCAATGACCTAACCTCCTCCCCTAGTGCTTCCTGAAGGTTTTACAACTTCCCGGTAGTGCAGTTCAAGTCCAAGCCTTGAACACAGATCTTTGGGGGATGCTCAGCATCCAAACTACAGCTGTAAAGGTGTAGTAGCTGTTGTCTTTGTTGAATGCTCGGCTCAGTGAAGAAAGACCTTAGACAGACAAGCAGCCTATGTAACTGTCATAAATTTTGAAACTAAAACATGGAAGGGGAAAAATAATGCAAAGTCCTTTCTTGACCACAGCTTTCAGGGCTGACTTAGCGCCAGACAGAGAAAGGAGAGAGGAAAAAGGGATGAGGAGATTCCATCTTCTCTTTGCTGGAGCCATCTGCCTTATTCTCTACCCAGAACCGTATTCAAATATCAGCTTCCTGTGGGCTGCTATTGCAGGCTGGAGGAGAGTCTGCCTCAGTGGGTTTCCGCAGTCAGGGGTTGGTGGGCAGTGAGGAAGGGAGGGACAGGGAGACACCTACATGTTCTTAAGGCAAGAAATGGCTGCTGAACAACACGAAAGTCTTAGAATAGGAGGATTAGCTCTGTCTTTTGTCATACTCAAATAATCCCAGTGAAATTGGTTGCTTTTTACATTTATCAGACTGAACAAATTAGAGGACTTCCACAAGTTTGTTCTTCAAAAGTTGAGCAACCTGGAGAAAGATATTCAGGCTCTGAAACACCTGGAGAAGGAAGTGCTGGTAAGTTCCTTTGACTGGGAGTGTTCTCTGTGATTTAAGAGGACCTTCTTAAGGGAAGAATAAGTGTTAAACAAAACTTTTGTTTCATTGTAGGAATTTTGGGAAAAACAGTCTGATGATCTGAAATCATTCTGTGATCTGCAAGTGCTGAGGTATATTTTTTAGAAGTATTTATAGGAAGAATTTTGACGTGTGAAGTAATGTGTTTGCTAGAGTATGTGCACTTGGTGCTGGTAAAACTCATGAAAGTGTCATGAAAGTGTCTGAAAGCTCATGAAAGCGACAGCTTTTCAGACTGGCCACTTCGGCAGCACCTCCCTGAGGATGCAGCGTGGCTGATGGCAGCAGTGAAGAAGAGTAAGTCTTGAAAAGTATAACAGAATTATCTGAATTTCTACGTTTTTGACCCACATAGTTTTATTTTAAGCAGCATTTGAAAAATAAATGGTTATATTTTGAGAAAAGTAGTTTTCTACCTAAATAATTGATTTACTGAATCTTCATTGTATCTTCTCAATAGTCTGTTCTTTATATTTTGAATATAATATGACTGTATATATGTTAAATGTATTTTTTTAAAAAACAAAACATGTGTTTACCCTGATACATGTTCCTCTGAGTGTAATTAGTACATCTAGAAGCTGCTACTTCTCCATTCGTCTTCTGGAGCGTAAGGAGGGGAGCATGGAGAGCTGGCTCTTTTGCTCCTCTGCCTTTGCCTTGGGAAAAATTCTGGTTTTCTCTTCTCATCTGAGGAACCAGATGCAGTGAAGGAATCGCTACACAAATGTGTAATGACTAAAGTTTTACCTACCATTTGAGAATCAGCTTCTTTCATAGAAATATAAGACAGATAGTTCAAGCACCGATAATACTCTGTGTGCGCTGCATATTTCAATGCAAAAAAATTCTTTTAGAAGTGGTTACCCAAGTCAGGTGCAGTGGTGCACACTTGTAATCCTAGCATTTGGGAAGTGGAGGCAGGTAGATTACGAGTTCAACACCAGTTTGACTATATAGCAAGACCCTGTCTCAAAACAGAACAATAAAACGGAAATCCAACCTTTCTGTCCATCCCACTGTTTATCCCAATTAACACAATGACAACAATGACTGTAAGGACCGTTATCCACATCCATTTACGTACATCTCCCTCTGTGTAGTACTATACGTGGTCAGAGGGGATAATCATTTTAGAACGTCTTCACTGAACGGCCTCGGTTGGTTGTGAGTTATCCTTGAACTTCTTGGAATCAGGACCTTTTTCCACCCTTAACATCCATTGAGTGTTCACAAAGAGCACTTGCTTATGGAGCTTATATCTGTGAATATTTGCCACAGTACAGCTGAAATATATACATGTATATTTTAAGATAAAAGCAATAAAGTTTTATATATTAAAAAGCATTTTTATGAAAATAACTCGATTTAAAGACAAGAATATGTGGAAGATTGGCAGTGTTTTTTTTTTTTTTTTTTGTTTGTTTGTTCTTGAGACAGGGTCTCACTATGCAATTCAAACTGGTCTATGAGCTCACTTTGTAACCCAGGCTGGTCTCAAAATCGCAACTACCCTCCTGCCTCAGCCTCCCGAGTACTGGGATTACGGGTGTTTGCCACCAGGCCTGGCTTAGTGGCAGTGTTTTTGTTTGCAAATCTTTAATGTCTGGCTTAATGGAAGACAGCTGGATTCTCACACCTACTTTTGAATGTAATTAATTGTGAACGATGTTGCCTCTAGATTTCACTGTATATTTGTGAAAGAGTAGAAATGAAGAAAGTGAATAATTTCTTAATATTATTCCCACTGACATCAAAACAGTTTTGACCCCACAGAACTTTTGGTTACTTAGGGGGTCCCTAGATAATGCTTTGAGAACTGCTGCTACAAAGCAATACTGCATTAAGCATTAAAGGAGACGCTATCCCTTCATCTACATTTATTGTCACTAAATCCCAAGTTTCAGGCAACTGTCTCTTTAATTAACATTGTTAGATATTAATTACTATTTGCATTCATGTCCCTTTGGTAACAGCCCTCCTGGGTGAAGTTAGAATATCTCTACATTACCTCTTCTAAGTATAGTTTACTATTCTTTTCTCTTCCAAAGGCCTAAGAAAATAGCTCTTTGGCTTGCAGACAAGGGGTAATTAGGATTCTTTTAGCTCACAGTAAGTGCTTACTGGGCACCAGGCTGTAGGCTGGGAGCTCAGTGTGCCATGGCTCTGTGAGACATGGAGAGGTTAATTAGCTCAGTCAAGATCACAAAGGTAGTATCTGTCCTCTGTTATGTTTTCATCTCAGGGATCTACATATTTTTCTAGGGAAATAAGAGCAAATCCTCTGACTAAATTAAATCAGTCTCTAACCTAGTGCTACAAGGGCCTGGGGCTCAGTGCTTTGAAAAGTGGGCATAAAATACTTCTTACACATTTTGTGGGCTGGTAGCACTGACAGAGACAATGACTAAGATAGAATCAAATGTTAATCTCCTATGGTGGTAACTCAAGTTGGTATTGACCTTCCTCATTCATTATCAAGTAATACAATGATCTGCAGGAAAACTGTGATATATCTGTGTACGTAGAAGCATGGTTTTGTTTTTTAAATGCCTAATAGGAATATAATAAAAAAAGATGAATCCATTTCTTCCAGGCTTAACCCAATTCAGCCTTCCTAAGGAGAGTCAAAGCTTGGTTTTGCTACTGCATCCCTCAGGTAGGCACCAAGATTTACATTGTTCAGTGGATGTGAATTTTGGTGGAAATATACAAGCACTAAAAATACTCAAACATTTCATCCATACTACGTTTCTGCAGCTGAGCTTCCTCCATTCCTAGAAGTTATCCTTTTTAGCCTGGGTCATCCATCCACCCATCCTTCCTTCCTTCCTTCCTTCCTTCCTTTCATTCATTCATTCAGTATTTATAATTGAGTGCTGCACGCCATCAAACCCTGTACTAAACATGACATTTCAGTGTTTAACATACAGATGTGTTCCTGCCCGTACTAAAAAATTCCTTGAGAGAAGTCAGAAAAAAACAGCAAAATAACCACACATATACTGAGTTCCTTGAGGAATTCTAAAAGTTCAGCCTCACTGGTAGGGAGCAATGGTGGGAAGTATGAACTTAAGGCAGGGTGGCCACCAAAGGTCTCTCTAAGGAAGTGACCTTAAAAGTGAGGTTTTGAGGACAAGAAGGAATTGGACTTCAAAAGTGAATGTTGTAAAGCAGTAAAGGGTAGGTGGGTGAGAATATGACATATTTGAGCACCAGGGAATGGAAAGGGGCACAGTCAACTGATGCGGTTGGGGGCGTGGTAGACTCAATGTGGCTTCAGTGGCCCCTTGAGAAGTTTGAACTTTACACTGAAGGTTCTGGAAAATGTGCTATATTTTGAGGAAAGGCATTGGGGTGAAGGTAGTGCAATCTGATTTTAACTTTAAGAATTCCAGCTGCTTTATTGAAAGTTGATTGAAGGCATAAAGAACAGAACAGGAGAGCCCTACTGTAGTTCTTTTGAGGACCAAGATGGTGGTCATAAGCTGGAGACAATGGTATGATGAGCACAGAGAGATTCAGATACGAAGTCTTGAAGCTGTAATTAATGAATTATTGACAGCAGCAATAGGTAAAGGAGGAGAACTAAACATTACATCTAGGTGTCTGTGTTTGGTCATTAGACGCCTGGTGTCGCCAGTGAGAGAAAAGACTCAGAGAGGGAGGATATGGAGGTCAAAGAGGAAACAGTTTATTTGCTAACATTTTAACTTTCAGACCATCCAAGTTTGGATAAGAACTTGGAGAAAAGACATCATCTTCCAGGGGAATGCAGTGTAACAAAACAGATGGGAAACTTCAACCAGATAATTGTTCATGAAAGAAATATAACAAGTTGTCAAAGAAAAAGGCCCTCTCTGTATATGGTCCAGACACTGTCACAGAAGAATTCTCTAGTCCCTGGAACAAGGATAATTTTAGTGCTGTTGAAACTATTCCAGTACACTCAAGAAGAAATATTTCCTAATTCTTTTTATGAATCCTGCATTTACATCCCCAAACCAACAAAAATAACCCAGAGAAGCACAGAACAATATCACTTAAAGTAATCAAGTCAAAATCTAAATAAGACACTGATGAGTAGAACTTAGCTGTTTACTAGAGGAGTAAAAGGAAGGAATCTAGTATAACATTAGTTTTTAAAATTTAAATATTTTATTCAGACATAATATGGGTATATATTTTGGTGTACATTATAGAATTCAATAACATACAATTATAATGATCAAATCTGGTTAATAAGCATTTTCATTGATTCAAATATTAATCATTTTCATATGCTGGGAATTTAATATTTTTTCTAATCAATCACTCAGAATGTATCATAGATTGTTTTAACTAACGATTACCCTACTGTGCAACAGAAAATCAGAACTAATTTCTGACCTCTGTGTCTGGTCCCTGTCTTGGTTACTTTTCTCTTGTTGCGAAGACGAAATACCGGAGGCCCAAAATTAAGGGAGAAAAGATTTACTTAGCTCATGGTTTATGGAGGTTTCAGTCCATACTCTGCTGGTTCCAAGGCAAAGTGGCATATGGCAGAAGGCAAGAATTCATGCTTCAGAAAACAACAAAAACAACAAGAGCAGAAGGGGAGGCTCTTGAAGCAAGCCTCTTTCCCTCCCTTATATTGTATGCAGGCTGCCGCCCGAGGGCAGGTGTAGTCCTTATACCCATAATCCCAGCATTGGACCATGAATCAGTCACAAATTCTAGAAGCCTGCTGCATGACAGCCTGAGGCTTTTCAGGGACATCCAGACACAAACCATAACAATCCTCCTTGTTTAATCCCGCACCACATCATCCTCAAAAGGACGATGTATCCCTGTCTGTCTGTACCTGACATAATTTTACTTAACACAGTAGTTTCCAGTTCGATCCATGTTGTTGCAAATGGGTAGATTTCAGTCTTCTTTTTACAGCCAGATAAGATTCCATTGTGTGTATGTGTGTGTATGTATATATATATATATTTTTTTTTTCTTCACTCACCCATCGTGTGTAGCTAGATCAATTTCATATTTGAGCTATTATGAATAGGCTGCTGTGAACATGCAGTGCAAGTATCTTTTTGGTATAATGATTTCATCTCTGGAACATACCCAGTACTGAGATCACTGGATTATATAGTCCTAGTTGTAGCTGTGTACTTAAAGGTGTACGGGATGTGAGCCTTCTCCAGGACCCATGGGATAGGCCTAGAGGAAGGGTATAAAGACCTTCCTTACCCACAGGGCAAACCTGGATAGGACTTGGGGTTGGTGGCTCTGGCAGACCAGTCCTTGAGCTTCAGGGTACTAAGGGTGCTGCCTTCTTCTTGTGAGGTGCACATAGTTCCCAGGCTTCTGGTGGTATCAGAGAGCGAGCTGGTGGCTCCGGGCAGGGTGCTGACTAGTGGTGGTTGTCACAGCAGCCAGTAGGAGGGTGACTGGTGGTGGCTTCTAGGGGTTGGGAAAAGCCTTCTTTGTTGGAGCAGAGCACTTGCACTTAGACCAGTCAGCTCCCCAGCCTGGGAGAGAACCTGCGCATTTAGGATGCCAGTCTGCTGCTATGGTGGAATTGCTGGTTCCTTCCCACCCACCCTTTCCTGGGAGTGTGAGTTCCATCCCCTCCACACCCGCCCTCCCGAGTGCCCAGGGTCCCTGTTGCCATTCGCTTTGTTCTTTTCGCTGTGCTGCGTTTCTGCCTCTAGGTACTTAGAGTTCCCATCAGTTCCTTGCTGATTTTCAGAATTCTCCCTTAATTACTGTACTCATGATACAGTTCTGCTTTGTTTCTCTGCCAATTCTCTGGGCAGTGTCCCATGCAGGGAACGTGCTTTCAACCCTCTTATATCTATCTTGGTCAGTACCTTAGTTACTAATTAATCTAGGGAGCAAAATCATTATGATTGCTATTATATATTTCAAAAATATTTTGAAAAAGTCGTCTGTCTTAGGATTTTTGTAAAGCTAATAGCAGTAACTAGGTATTCTGTAATGTGATAAATCTTAGTCCAAAAGCTAGCATATTATTTAATGGAAACTCCACTCAGTGTCACTGAAATCGAGGATTTATGAATGGAAGTCTTGACAATGTAAAAATGTTGATTCTCCCTAAATTAATGAAAGAATTTAGACCACTGCTCTCAAAGATACAGTAGGTTTTTCTCTTATAATTGGCAAGCTGATTCTAATATATAAGTAGCAGAGGAGGGGGGAAATCATTTAAAGCATTATTTAAAAAATTAGCAAAACTACCAGTACAGAAGTCCAAAGCAACTGGAAGTGGGTAATAAGTTTAAAATCTGAAGTAAAATAAAAACCAAGAAAACCGTAGAGAGGATTAGTAAAACCCAAACCCAGTTCATTAAAAAGATTAATTTAGCATGTAAATTTCTCATCAGACTGATCAAGAAAATAAAAAAGCTAGAAAAGACACAGCTGAAATTTAGGAATAAAATGTACCAATAACATGCTCCTAGAGAGCTAAAATATAACAAAACTATATTAGCAAAAGCTAGATGTCAATAAATTTGAAAATTTCCAAAACTTAACAATTATTAAAGAAATGTTTAAAAAAATCCATCCTTGTGTGGGAAAAGAGAAGGGAAAGAAGGAGAAATTTTGTATGTATGTATATACAGGATAGGTAACATGGTTGTTCTTCTGTCTTCTATTTCTATGCTGAAAGAAACTGTCAATGAGTCTTTGGTTGACCAGTATTGCATGTCTATATCTGTTTTCATGAGAAGCCACTTTGAAGATATCAATATGTAATACAACCACCATTGTTAATTCCCTACCACTTTGTTTGTAACTCTGTATTGTCTGTATTGTGCTTGTGATATGTTGTAAAATGTTGTATGTCTGTTAATGTTTCCCTCCTTTTATCTTTAAAATTAAAAAAAATAAAAAATCCATTCTTGGGCCTGGGGATTTAGCTCAGCGGCACAGCGCCTGCCTGACAAGTGCAAGGTCGTGAGTTCAATTCCCGGTATGAGAGAAAAACAAAAACAAACAAACAAAAAATCCATCCTTAATTTAACATCAGATCTTGGTGTTTTCATGTAAGTTTTATCAAGTTTAAATGGAATGTGTAATCTTTATACAAAAGAGTCCAAGGCAGCAAAGAAATCTTCCTGATTGATTTTAGGAAATGTCCATGATCTTGAACCAAAAATGGGACAAAGATAATCATGAGAACAAAATTCTAGCTCCTTTTCACAAATTAACCTAAATACAGAAATGCTGAAGACTTAGCAAATCTTAGCAGTATTGTGTGTTTGTATATTGAAAAGATGAATAAAGAAAAATCAGTTGAAGTAAACATGTATAATGCATATAAAGATTTAACATTTTAAAAACCTATTTATTTCACAACATTAATAGCATTAGTAGAATAACCACTAAAATATTCTAGTAGATTCAGAAAAAGCATGTGTAAAAACTGAACACCCTTTTGTAATTAAAACTCGACTAATCAACAGTAAAACTGTTGGGAAACTGGGGCTGGAAAAGATACAGTCTCCAGACGTCCGCAGGCTGCACGGAACTTAATGAAAAAACATTTAAAAATCATTAACAAGACAAAGTTTCTGTTCTTCCTATTTTAGCAGAGTGCCGAATCTAATGTTGGCCGGCCTTGGCATTTTTTTGTGGTTTGTAATACTAACTTGATCTGCTTGCATGCTGGTTTGCCTACAGCAAAGTTCTGCTCAAATGGCAGCCATAGAGAAAGTCAAGGGTTTGGCTTCGTCTAAGAGTGTGTTTTTCCCGGAATCCAGAGGGAACCTAGGCACAAGAAACGAGGTCTGGTCAGGAGCTGGTAGAATAATGCTCATTAGTAGCCAGACTGGGCCACAGGGGATGAAGGCAATTCCCCTGGTGGATTAGTTCATGTTGTGAGGAAGGCGATGGACGCAGGTCTTAGAGAAAAGCTATGCAGGGAGCCAGGAAAGCAGGGGACTTGGAAAGGGAAGGGAGGTGTGGGCAGACAGTGCAGCGTTGAGAACTGGGAAGTCCGTGATGGCGACCTGTCTGGGAACACAAACTGTGGTGCAGTTGGGGAAAATGCTGGAGGAGCTGAGGCATTGGTCCGAGGCCAGAGCGTGAACATGGACCTTTTGTGACAACCTGGTCATTATTGCTAAGGCCAATGGAAAGGGGTGGGCAGGTGGAAAGTGTGCTGCAGATGGGTGGTGGAAATGTGGCAGGGAAGTGTCCGTGGGAAGCGGAGCATGTGGCAGTGGGGAGCAAGGAGAGTGCTACCCTTCACCTGGCCAGGCAGTATAGGTTGTATATAGGACTTGTATAGTATAGTATACAAGTCCTTAGCTGATGTGTTTGGGACCAGAAATACTGCAGATTGTAGGTTTTCGGATCTTTGGAGTATTTACCCAGACTTTACTGATTGAGCGTCACTAATCCAAAAACCAAAAATCTGAATCGATACGAAAATACTGGGATAGCAGAGAAAGATCACTGAGATAGTGTGTCCAGTGAGAAGGTAGCCTCAGGAGTAGCCATGTTCTAGTTGAAAGAAGGAGGTAAGAAGATGTTTTCTCCTAGAAGAGGCTGAGCCTGTTTCTGTGTTGCTGACAGCCTGAATTGTAGGGGTGGGAGTGAATGACCGTGGGAAGGTGGGAAGGGTAGTAGACTGGGATAGGTCCTCAAAGCATTGGGTCACATGTGGATGAATTTCTGAATTGCCTTGGGAGGCTCACAGGGTAAACAAATGTGGAACATGCAGAATAACCAGCAGCCAGTCTGTTTTGGGGGTGTTCTCTTTAAGGACAGCAGCTCTCCAGCCCATTTGGATTCTTTGAATATTATTTTGTTCATTCCCACGGCGGTTAACAATGAGGTTTTTCACACAGTTAACAGCCGAGATTTCCTGCAGTTTATAATTCTGATTCTTGGTTTTGTAACTAGGCCATAGCCAAATACAACTTTTAAGAGTGCAATTCCACTTACTTCACAGAGTGTGCTAATATTTCTAAAAACTGCCTTGTTTTAACTTGAGAGTACATGAATTGGATAACTAATATATATATATTTTTAACTGCATCCAAAGTTGTACTTTGTGATTTTTTGACCCAATATTTCCAAATCTAGGCAAACTATTTTAAAGGTGGAATTGGACACAGATCAAGGTAGTGACAGTTATAGGTATTACAAACCTGATAGGAATAAGGAGACATTGGACAGTTTCCTGATGCCCAGCTAGTGCCCATTGATGTGATCTGCCACTTAGCCACTCAAAAGAATGGCTTTGACTATGTTGATTGACCTGGGAAGAGGTTTGACAGTCAAAAGTAAAAGCTTATTGCAAAGCAGGATATAGAATATGATCCCATTTTGTAACATGTATGACTTGTATGAGGATTCCTATGGTCTTTCACCCAAACTATTGAGTCTGTTGGATCAGCCATGGTCACCTCTTAGTATCGGCAGGCAGTGGATTCTTCTCTGTGGATTCTGAGATGCATAAATGCTCCAGTTTTACATAAAGTATTTGCTTGTAGTATTTTCATATGACCCACGTACTGGGTCCCATCAATTTCATATCATATGGAGATGTTACGTAAGTTTATAGACACTGTAAGTGCTATGTAAATAATGATCATAAACTATTGTTTAGGGAATGATGGCAAGAAAAAAAGTCTCTGCATGTTCAGTACAAATATGACTTTTTCCCAAATATTTCCAACAAGTGGAAGACTGAATCTGTGGACACAGGACTCTTGGTTAAGGAGGGCCAGTTGTGCTCTCTTAAGTGCTGGGATGGGTTGAATACCCATGTGGCTTCTGACTGCCTGCATCCATACTAGCAGGATAGGCGGACAGTAAGCAATGCTCAGATGAGAATTCATAATAGTGCTAAGTGATAAGAAGGAGAACATCTATGCTGTAAGACTCCAGGTGTAGAAGAAGTCACATAAAACCCCTCTAAGGAAATGACTCTTGAGCTGAAATCCACAGGCATCTGGAACCAGCAGCGGGGGGAGGGCTGGAGGAGAGTCTTGTAGGAAGAGCAGGGTGGCATCCTGAGGCCACAGGCACCTGATCTATGCTAGGAATCCAGGCAGGGTCCAGCAAAGGAGTGAGGCCAGAGCTGGCTAAGATGAAGCAAAAGGCCCTATGGGCCATGGTGGGGGACTTGGACTTTATTCCGGTCGTCTAAACAGGGTAAAGTGCATGAGTGCATTGGGGTGGGAGTTGGATGCCACCGTTAGTGCGGACGGACTTGGAGGACTTGCTGATGGGGTTGGAGGTGGCTGACAGGGTCAGGCAGGATGAAGAACGACTGGGTGGGAGCTTGTGGTGTATTTAAGGAGGTGGGGAAGACTGGTGGGGGAAGAATGAGGCCAGATATGAAAAGCTTGGTTTGGGGCAGACGCTCCACGTGATTTCAGTGTCTGAGCGGAGCTGTCACGTGGGTAACCGGCTGTTTGAGACTGCAGCTTATGCCAGAGAGCTGGGCCTGGGACTGATGAGTTCATTTCATGGCCCAGGACCAAATTCTTGGTCCCTGTAAGATGATGTAAGCTCGGAGATGAAGCCAGCAAAAGACAGTGTGGAGGAGTGACCAACGGGCTGGGGATATCAGGAGACGAGAGGTGGTGTGTACAGACACACGTGCGTATGCAGTGAGAGGTCTGTATCCCGGTCGGAGGGTCACTGATACGTCACCTGTGGTTATTTCTAATGGTGATATTTGGGTGAATTTACTTCCGTAGCTGATTCTGCATTGCAAAATAGAAATTCCTTTTGTGTAATGAACTCCCCACAGAAGCTTATGAAGGGTGAAAACTTTCCTCTACCCATCTTTCTTATCCACAACACAGAGATAACTGTCTTTGTACAGCTTGGAATATTTTGTTTTCTTCCAGTCATTTTTTTGGCAGTACTGTGGACTGAACCTAGGGACCTTGCACTGAGCTACATCTCTAGCCACTCTTTATAGTCTTCTACAGGGTCTCACTAAGTCCCTAAATTACCCAGACTGGGCTCAAACTTGCGATTCTCCTGCCTCAGCTTCCATACTAGCAGAATAGCTAGTGCTGGGATTATCGGCATGCACCACCATACCTGGCTTCTTCCAGGCGTATGTTCTGATGCTTATGTAAGAATGTGTACAAACAGTTATACATCTATCTATGCATAGGTGTTTTTAAGTAACACACGAATATACTAAGTATATATTCTTCGTTTACTCAGCCTTACAAGTAGGATCCTTTCCAAGTCAGTAATATAAATCTTATTTTAAAAAATAATTGCACAATATTCTAGTTCATGGAAATACTATGACTTGCCATTCATTTTCCTATTGATGAACATCTAGGTCACTTAAAAATTATCATTACAGGTAAACTTACAGTGAATATCCTTGTATATATATCTTGAATATTATTATCAAGAAAAAAATTAAGTATTTTCTTTTGAGGAATCAGCAGTGATAACAAATCTCCAAATCAGAAGGCTAAGAGAGGATAGGGGGAATTCCAGCAGTTGGTAGGCTGAGGCAGGAAGATCACCGTGAATTGAAGACCAGCCTGAACTTCACAGTGAGTTCAAGACAAGCCTGAACTGCACAGTGACATCTTGTCTCAAAAAAAAGAAAAAATGGGTGGGAAAAGACTAATCTGAGCTAAGAACATTGGAATAATTCTGAGCTTTCGTGGAGAATTGGCTCAAATGCGAGTTAAATGTACGTGCTTCATGTGGTCACATGTGCAGAAATCAGACTGCAGCAGCTAAGCCAAACAGGGACCTCGTTTTTCTCCTGTAAAAGGCAGCTCAGAGCGAGGTAATCCACACCCAGACAGAGTAGCTTTAAGTAGTCACTGAGCACCTCAGGTCCTTTAGCTTTCTGTCCTACCATTCTTTGTACCGTGTTGGGTTTTATAGTCACAGGACGACTGCTCTACCTCTCGGTATCTCTTCTACTCTTCAGCTAGGAGAAGGGGATGAGTAAGAGGTAAAAGCGCCCTGGCCCCTCTTAAAATCAGGTAAACAATTTTCTTGGAAGCCCAAACCAATAGATTCTTGTCACTATCTCACTGGCCAGAAATGGATCAGGTAGCCCACCCTAATGCAAGGGAGTCTGGGGAGGTGGAAGTTTAAGCATGGTACCATCCCTACTTCTGCAAGGTGGGGTCGCACTCACAAGAGACTTTTGCAGATAATTTGACTCCAAGGCAGTTCCCCCACAAGGGCACTGACTTTACATCCCAGCAACCATATAGGCTGCATGGTCAGTAGTGTCTCAGAGACAGAGCTGATGAATGAGATTTGTGTTGGCTCATTGAGTTCTGAGGGACCTGGAAGTGATAGTTCAGCCTTGACTGATTACTTTTCTCCTTTTCCTTTTCCACCAGTCTGAATCACGAGAAGAGGACAATAAGGATGGAGTTCCCATTGGCTTGGGCTGCACGAGCCCTACTGTGAGACTGGTGCTCATTCAGTTCTTTTCACTCACCAATTTAGAGAAAATTTCTTTAAACAGTCCCTGGGAACTGCTGAGTTGAAGTCGAATAGAATATGTTGGTAGTTTGTCATGGTGTTATTATCCATTTTTTTCACAAAAATTAAAATAGGTATTAAAATTTGGGCAGATAAGAGGAAGGTCAAGATGTTCATCAACTTCAAGTGATGTTGCTTTTTCTCATGATTTTATACAGTGACATTGATTTTTGAGAAATGTCTTTGAGTTCTGTGGAGCCGGAAACTTTAGCAGCATCAGCATAAATACAATTTTGTATATCTCTTTAAAGGAGAAACTTAATTTGAAAATGATGAAAATAGCTCAGATAAAAATGGTGGCGTATTTGGAGAATAAATGTATTAGATTCACTTGAGCTGCAGATATTTCAGAGTTTCTGCAGCACTTTAACAAAATTACCATCTTTAGCAGAGGAGAAATATTCATCATGTGATGATCACTACGTGCTCTCATGACCTCTGAGTGCATGAAACTGCACATACAGTTGAGTGTTTGAATTTATTTTACAAAAAGAAATCTACATAATGTAATAAGAGCAACTTTGTTGTGATTGGATAGGTAAAGATGATAGACTGCAGAGTTTATTCATTATGTTTTATAATTTAGTAAGTTATGTTTAGCATATTGTAGTTTCATTTGTCTAAAAATGTTTACAACCCCAATTTTGTTGTCATTTTTTTCTCTACAGTATTTGGATGAGCTCTGCGTTATTGTATTGCTAAAAGCTTTATCGAAAATGCTTCATTCTTTTAAGTCCAAACAACTAATGTGGTTAGCCTCCTTTCACTTAGGCATACAGTTCAAGGTTCACAGCTCCTGGGGACTTGGGGTGGTCTGGATTTTGGTGTCATTACATTGATGCTCTTCACTGAAAGGCATCTAAAAACATGACTTCCAGTCACATCCCAGTACTATGGGACATATATTTGAGTGCGGACAGGGTGTTAGGGTGAATAAGACATGATCTTAGCTAATAAGAGCTTAATCTAGAGAGGACAGTATGACATCCAGGGAACTACCACTCAATGCTGTATGTGACATGAGCCACTGAGGAGGTGTACACTGAACACTGTGGGATCCTTTATGTTGGGTGGTCAGGGTTGGCTCCCTGGATTACGAGTGCCATTGGAAATAGATCTCAGATGAAGAGGGATTTTCTAAGATGGGGGAAAAGAGACTAATACGGATTTAGGAATGGAAGCAGAAAAATGCAGGATCTGAGGTCCTCATACTCAAGCAGGGAGACAAGTTAGTCACACATTACATAATAAAGGTGAAAAGCAAGGTGCAGGGTGCAGTGCCGAGGCGTGTGTGAGCACCCTGCCCTGGCCCAGCTGGAGCGAGCTGGGTTGGGCTGGGCTACAGGGTGTGGACATGGATGCGCCTTTTTGGTCAATGTGCATAGAAGGCTGGCTGCAGGCCTCCTGGAAGAACTGAGGCTCAGCATCGGCTGCATCCCCCACCCTGGTGATGTTGGAGGGTGCCTGGGGGCCATTTCCACCTCCGGAGCACCCGTCTTCCGCTCGTTCCTGTGGAGGAGTAGCCCCGTTCCCACATAGCAAGCTCCCTGCCCGCCTGTGCCTAAGTCTCCCGCTGTCCCTCTGCCCCTGGCCTCCGCCCTCCGCAGCAGCTCTCGTAAGTAATTGCTTTGTCCCCGCTCTGCCCTACGCTTGTCACACAGCAGTGCGACCCCAGCTTCTGCATTTTCAATATAAGCCGACCAGAGGGCCGCAGAGGATGTCCCTTCTGTGTCCCGCCCATTTTGCTTCTTCTGCAGCCAGATTCTTAAGGGCCAGATTCTTAAGGGTGATTTTCATGTCACTTTTCTTTTTTTTTTTTTTTTGACTTTCCATCCATTCCAAATCCCCTGCCATTTCCTAACTGCTCCCAAGGATGAAACTGAAAGCCTTTTTTGTCACTTGTCACCTGACCTCCTTGCAGAATTTGACTACTCTCTTCTTGGCTTCTGGGACACCACTCTGTCCCTGCGACTGTCAGGCTCCTTCCTTAGCTGTGGCTCCTCCTCCCTGGGAGGTGCCCAGCTTTCTCCTTCCACTCTGGTCTTCCACCTTCTCTTGGCACAGACGGCTTCCTGAGCCCAGTGCCTTGGCCCCTGCCCATTGGCATCACCCGGCCACCTGTTCCTCAGTCCGAGTGTGTCCGCAGCCTGCTCTTGTCCTCTGCTCCCCTACCCTGTCCCGGCCTAACCCCTCTCCTTGCTGTTCACCAGCCCTACCATCTCCTCCTGTCCCCTAAGCCCAGTTCCTTAGGCTCCGCCTTCCCATCAAGTCCCCTGCCTGCCCTCCAGTGAAATCTAGGTGACCTAGCCTAGATTTTCAGCCATACTGCAGGGAAGATGCCACAACTGTGCCTCTGTCCCTGGCTTCTCCGAGCTGTTCTTCTTCCCCAGTGACCACAGGTTTCCCCCTGTGGTTGTTGGTCTACACCACCGTCTACCCATCATTCCCTGCTGAATACCATGGTGGTTTACATGTTCCATCCCTGGCAACAGAGAGATGGATCTTCTGCAAATAGAGGAGAGAGGGGAGAGCAAGGGCACATAGGAGGAATTCAAGAAATAACTTGCTAAGGAATGCTGACTCCTATTAGATCCTAGACATTTAACCATTGGATTGCCTTGAATATAGTTTCTTATCTACCTGAATTTTTCAATCATCAGAACCAAGCTTAGGCTAACAGTTCCTTTGGTAAACTGTTTTTAAGTGTTTCTCTATGAACTGTGATTAAAAAAAAAATACAGTGAATGTTTAGAAAATTTTGAAATTTAGAGTAAAAGCCACATTGCTATTAATTTCATTCAAAATACTTCCTTTCAGTTTGAACACACTTATCCCATAATTCTTGCCACTTTCTGCAGCAGTTCTAGGCGTCTTCCTTCATGAGTGTCTTTGGTTGTGCTGTCATGGTGCCCTTGGTGTCCCAAATGGATTCAAAATGTTTAGCTTTTATGGTCATTTTGATTTTGAGGAAGAGCTAGAAGTCACACAGTGCCAGATTTGGTGAATAAGGTGGATGAGAACACACTGTAATGTTTTTTATGAGGCTGCCTTTCTTGTCAAGTTCACTATTTTTTTATACCTTGTAAAGACATGAAAGAAGACTTCCACAACTGCCTCCAGAAGAGCAAGAACGACGGAATCAGTGTATTCAACCTGAGGGGGAGTATTTTTGAGGGAATTAATGCAATATGTCTTTTAGTATAATTCCATTTTTAGGGCCAGGTATATAGTTCAGTGGCACAGTGACTGCCTGGCAAGTGCAAGGTCCTGAGTTTGATTCTCAGTTAAAAAAAAAAAAAAACAAAAACCCACAAGACTATAATACAGCTTTAAAATTTAAACATTCACTGTATATTTTCATCACATCTCATACTTTGCCAGACTCAGAATGCTAAGGGCAGATATTTCATCTGCATCATTCTGTATCCCAGCATAATACATAGCACTGCATAACATAGGTTTGATGGTGTTTTTGACTAAATAAAACATTTCCACAGTAGATCAACACCTACCGGTTCAAACTAGTTTTAAAGGCATACAAGCTTGTTCTACATGGAGCTGTAATCTCTCAGAGAAATCTGCAACATTTATCATTAGTTTTTAGGGCCACAGCTGGTAAAATGGTAGATCCATTTCAAGTATATAACATCAGGTCTAGCAAAAATGAAAGAATTTCTCCCTTTGTTGTTGGACACTCAGGAGTTATAGATCAAATGCCTTCAGGGCCAGGTAGGTTTATAGGTCCAGTGTAGAAGATGAGAACCAGAAGAGGCCTAGGATAGCAAAAGCAATCTTGGGAAA